GCCAATCGGCGTAAACTCGACATGCCAGGCTTCGAGCTTGTCGGCGGCGTCAAAGGGGTCCTCGAGGCGGTCGTCACGCAGGCTCGGCGTCAGGATGCCGCGGTTCGGGGTGTGGGCTAGCGGCGTCTCGGGAGCGCCGCTCCTGGAACGCCCGCCTTTCTGCCCCTTGCGCTTGGCACCGCTGCGGCCGTTGCCGCCGCTGCCACCGCCGCTGCCGGAGCCCGACGCACCGCTGGCCGGGACCTCCGGGACGACAAAATGAGTGTTGGTGAGGTCGAGGGCCTGGCTCGGCTTTCTCGCGCGCGCGTTGCTAACGTTGCCGGGATCTGGTAGATGCTGCAAGTCTGATGCCGCGGCATCGGCCGCGCTCCGGTGGCCGGCCAAGTCGACGCGCAGCCCGTTGGACGCAGCGAATGCGGCGGCCGAGGCGGACGAGGAGCTCACCGTCGTGGCTGCCGCTATCGCCGCGGTGGTGGAGGCGGTGGTGGTGGCGGCCGAGGTGGTGGCAATGATGCTGGCACTGTGCGTTTGGCGCTTGATGTTGCGGTCGAGGAGCAGCGCCTTGCGTGCCTCGTCGTTTTTGCGCTTCTGCTGGATGGCCTGCGCGAAGGCGACGTCGACGGGCCTGGGGGAGCACTGCTCGCAGAGGTACTCGTCGGGTACGCTGGCTTGGGACATGCCGAAGCAGGCGCAGTGCTGCCAGACGAGGCAGCGGTCGCACTGGATGGTGAAGCCGTCGTCGTCGTCGCAGTCGCATATGCACCTGATGACCCCGGCATCTTCGTCGACGGTGCCCTGGTCGTCGTCTGGGTCGTTGTCGGCGTCGCCGGTGGTGTCGGCCTCGGTGGCATCGTGCAGAGGGCCGGCAGCAGCGGTGTTCGGCGATCGGCTGGCCGAGTGCGGCGGTGGCTGTGGAGCTGCGGTGATGGCTTCATAGGAGAAGAGGGGCGGTTTGGTGCCGGATGGGGTGGATGCGAAAGTGGGCCGGGACGAGTCGCGGGTGAAGATGCCCATTGCCGGCGGGACAATCATGTCGGGCGCGGGTCGGTCGAGGCGGGGCGCCTTGTAGGGAGGAGGAGGAGGGTTGGTGAGGGCAGAGGTGGCTGCGGACTGCTTGCGCTTGTGGGAGGGTGGTTGCCTGGGAGGCTGTGCAGCCGAATGAGGGTCTAGAGCCATGATGGAGCGAGGGATGGCATGTTGGTGGCCATTGTCAGGCATGCTCAGGTGGCGGTGGAAGCGTCGATGTGCAGATGGGCAAGGCAAGCGGCGGCAGGAGCTGGTGGCGAAGAGAGGCTAGGGTGGGCGTGGACAGGTCGGGCTGATAGGGCGACGGGCGATGGTGCAGGCGTGAGCAGGTTGGCGAGAGGAATTGGGCGACGGCGCGGGTGATGGTGGTGAGGCGAGGGGGGCGAGCTGATGAGGTGTGGTTTGGGTGGCGAGAGAGTGGATCCCGAGGAGGGCAGCGGCCGACATGGACCAATGTGAGCGCCGGCAGCGCACCCAAGTCGACGCGGCTAAGTCAGAAGACAGGCTGGAAGAGGACAGTCCAGGCGGCGGATGGCAGGATTGGGAGCAAAGGGCCGATTGCCGGGGGTGTCCGGGCAGGGCCTGACAGAGGGGATTGTGTGCCGTCGCCGTCGCTGCCGTGCTTGTGGTGGAGCGATGGTACTCGGCAGCCGGTGCGCGTGGTATGCGGTGGCGGCGGCGGTGGTGATGGTGATATGATGGTGGCGAGGGGTGAGGGTGGATGCGACGGATGGCCGCAGTGGACGGGACGGGTCGAGGAAGAGGGCGGGTGGGCCTGCCTGCCTGCCTGCCTGCCTGCCAGGCTGGGCTGCAAAGGCACTCGACTCGACGCCCGCCTGGCCTAGGCTGACGCAAATTTTCACCGCGCAAAGCAGGCGAGGCCAGGCCAGACTGGCAGGCAGAGAGTCAGCCGAAACAGAGACGAGCAGCCAGGCCAGCCTGACGAGGCCCAGCGGCCCTCAACCTGCCAAAGTCGACGCGCGCGCCTCGTAGGCCTTTGCCTGGCCTGCCTGGCCTGCCTGCTTTTTGCGCCTGGCGGGTCAGTCAGCCAGCCAGCCAGCCAGCCAGCCAGCCAGGCGCTCCACCTTTCGTCGTCGCCGTTCTTCTCGCCGCTCACCACCACCGCCATCGCCATCGCCATCGCACCCTCGCCGACACCTGCCGCTCTCTCCCGTACCGACACGCCCCACCCCCCCCTCCCACGCTCCCTCGCGTATCAACGAGGTGCAGCAACAGCGGCTGGCATCCAAGGTACACACACTCGTCGTCCGCACCGCCTTCGTCACCGCCACCGCGATTGCCACTGCCCTCTCCGTTCATAAAGGCACCGCGGCGACCACGCCGGCAGCCACGCCACCGCACCGCACCGGCGCACGCTCCCTCGCGCCGGCTGGCAAAAAGCCACCAGCATCCATCAACAACCCACCCTCGCCCGCCCGTCCGCCCCTCCCCTAGCTTCCCTCCCACCACCCGCTCCCTCGACTGCCGCCTCTGCATCGCCCCTCGCCACCCCTTCCACACCTCGTCGCCATGCCGCCAAAGGGAAAGCCCGACTACTCGGGCTACCAGTACTCGGCCCTCTCCTCGCTCGTCCTCAATGCCGACAGAGGTCCCCGCAGAAACGAAGAGACCACCGGCGAGGCAGAGTCCCTCGCAGGCAGGATCGACGTCCGCCAGATGGGCTCCGCCGTGCGCCAAGAGGGCATCAAGGACATCGACAAGAAGCGCAAAAAGGCAGAGGAGCACGACGAGCTCCGCCAGCGGAACCCAAAGCGCAAGGCTGGCGCACTCACACAGACCTACGCAGACATCCTCCAGGCAACCGCAGAGCTCGAGGGCCTCCGCTACCAGCCCCGCACCCCAGAGACAAGAGAGGTCTACGAACTCATCCTCAGCCTCGTACACACCGCCCTCGGCGACCAGGCACAGGACGTCGTACGCTCCGCCGCAGACACGGTGCTCGAGGTGCTCAAGGACGACAACCTCAAGGACTTTGACAAGAAGCGCGACATCGAGCAGTTTGTCGGCCCCTTGACCACCGAGACCTTTGGCCAGCTCGTCAACCTCGGGAAAAAGATCACCGACTACGACCACGACCAGGCCGACCAGGCCGACCCCGACGCCGACAAGCGCGACGCCCTCATGGACGACGAAAACGGCGTCGCCGTCCTCTTTGACAACGAGGACGAGGAGAGCGACCAGGACGATGTCGGTTACGTGGTGCGCGACGGGTCAGACGACGAGTCCGACGACGACGACGAAGGGACAGGAGGCGATGGTGCAGCGACCGCAGGCGCAGCCGCAGACGAGGCCGAGGCCACCGCCGAGGGCGGGGATGACGCCGCCGGCGACGAAGGCCTCGTGATCGGCTCCACAGCGGCATCGCGCCAGCAGAAGGCGTCGTCGGCCCGCGATCCGACCGCCGTCTCGCCGCACGAGATCGACGCCTATTGGCTGCAACGCCTCGTATCGCAGCACTACCCGGATGCCCACGAGGCCAGCGAAAAGACGACCGCCACTTTCGACATCCTCTCGTCCGAGTCCGACACGCGAGAGTGCGAAAACAGCCTCATGGAGCTCTACGACTACGACAAGTTCGACCTGGTCCAGATCCTCACCAAGAACCGCGAGCTGGTCGTGTGGTGCACCAAGCTGGGCCGCGCCGACGACGACGAGCGCGTCAACGTCGAGGTGGCCATGCGCGAAAAGGGCGTCGGGTGGATCCTCAAGGCGCTCCGCGGCGCCGACGCCAGCTCGGGCAAGGCCGGCGCGACGGCGGCACCCGCAGGCCTCGTGCCGATCGACCTCGACGACGCCAAGCAGCGCGCCCGCAAGCTCACGTCGCGCGCCACGATTGCGCCCGGCTCGACTGCGCAGCCGCGGCGCGGCGTCGACCTCGAGGCGATGGCCTTCAGCCAGGGCGGTCACCTCAACACCAACGCCAAGGTGCGGCTTCCCGAGGGGACCGTCAAGCACACCAAAAAGGGCTACGAGGAGATCCACATCCCCGCGCCCGTCAAGAAGACGATCCCCGAGGGTGACTTGGTGACCATTTCGAGCCTGCCCTTCTGGGCCCAGGCCGCCTTCCCGGGCGCCACCACCCTCAACCCGATTCAGTCGCGCTGTTACCCGGTGGCGTTCGGTTCCGACGAGCCGATGCTGCTATGCGCCCCAACGGGTGCCGGCAAGACCAACGTGGCGATGCTGACCATCCTCAATGAGGTGGCCAAGTGGCGCGACGAGGCGACGGGCGCAATCGATCTCGACGCCTTCAAGATTGTCTACGTCGCGCCGATGAAGGCGCTCGTGGCCGAGCAGGCCGCCAACTTCCGCGACCGCCTGCAGGCCTACGGCATCACGGTCAACGAGCTGACGGGCGACAGCCAGCTGACCAAGGCCCAGATCGCCGAGACGCAGATCATTGTCACGACGCCTGAAAAGTGGGACGTCATCAGCCGCAAGAGCTCCGACACGTCGTACACCAACCTCGTTCGGCTCATGATCGTCGATGAGATCCACCTCCTCCACGACGACCGCGGACCCGTGCTCGAGGCCGTCATCGCGCGGACGATCCGCCGCATGGAGCAGATGAACGACCCCGTCCGCCTCGTCGGCCTGTCGGCCACGCTGCCCAACTACCGCGACGTCGCCACCTTCCTCCGCGTCAACCCGTCGAGCGGCCTCTTCTACTTCGAGGCCAACTACCGCCCCTGCCCGCTTAAGCAGGAGTACATCGGCATCACCGAGAAAAAGGCCATCAAGCGCTTCCAGGTCATGAACGAGGTCACCTACGAAAAGACGCTCGAGCAGGCGGGCCGCAACCAGGTCCTCATCTTCTGCCACTCGCGCAAGGAGACGGCCAAGACGGCCCAGTTCATCCGCGACCAGGCCATCGAGCGCGACACCATCTCGCAGTTCCTGCCGCAGTCGCCGGCCAGCCGCGAAGTGCTCCAGACCGAGCTCGAAAACGTCCAGGACCCGGGCCTCCGCGACGTGATGCCCTACGGCTTCGGCATCCACCACGCCGGCATGAACCGCGTCGACCGCCAGCTCGTCGAGGCCCTGTTTGCCGACGGCCACCTCCAGGTGCTCGTCTCGACCGCCACGCTGGCCTGGGGCGTCAACCTGCCGGCGCACACCGTCATCATCAAGGGCACGCAGATCTACAACCCGGAAAAGGGGCGCTGGTGCGAGATCACGCCGCAGGACATGCTGCAGATGCTCGGCCGAGCCGGCCGACCGCAGTACGACACGTTTGGCGAGGGCATCATCATCACCAACCACTCGGAGCTGCACTACTACCTCAGCCTGCTCAACCAGCAGCTGCCGATCGAGTCGCAGCTGGTGTCGAAGCTCGCCGACAACCTCAACGCCGAGGTGGTGCTCGGCACCATCCGCAACCGCGACGAGGCCGTCGCCTGGCTCGGCTACACCTACCTCTACGTGCGCATGCTGCGGACGCCCGCCCTGTACGGCGTCACCGCCGACTACGCCGACGACGACCCCTTCCTCGAGCAGAAGCGCGCCGACATTGTCCACTCGGCGGCGGCGCTGCTCGAAAAGTGCGGCCTGCTGCGCTACGACCGCAAGACGGGCAACCTCGCCACCAACGAGCTCGGCCGGATCGCGTCGCACTACTACATTGCCCACGCCAGCATGTCGACCTACCACCAGCACATTAAGCCCCACCTGGGCATGATCGACCTCTTCCGCATCTTTGCCCTATCCAACGAGTTCAAGCACCAGGTGGTGCGCCAGGACGAGAAGCTCGAGGTGGGCAAGCTCATCGAGCGCGTGCCCATCCCGGTCAAGGAGTCGATGGACGACCCGGCGGCCAAGGTCAACGTGCTGCTGCAGACGTGGATCTCGCAGCTCAAGCTCGACGGCTACGTGCTCGCCGCCGACATGGTCTACGTCACACAGTCGGCCGGCCGCATCCTCCGCGCCATCTTTGAGATCTGCCTCAAGCGCGGCTACGCCAAGCTCAGCCACCTGGCGCTCGACCTGTGCAAGATGGTCGAGGGCCGCCAGTGGGGGTCGATGACGCCGCTGCGCCAGTTCAAGGGCGTGCCTGCCGACCTCGTCCGCCGCCTCGAGCGCAAAGAGTACCCCTGGAACCGGCTGCGCGACCTCGAGCCCAACGAGATCGGCGAGCTGATCGGCATCCCCAAGGCTGGGCGTCTCGTCCACCGCCTGGTCCACCAATTCCCGCGCCTCGAGCTTCAGGCCTTCTTCCAGCCCCTCACCCGTTCCCTCCTCCACGTACAGCTCACCATCACGCCCGACTTCCAGTGGGACGAGCGCGTCCACGGCGGCGCCCAGAAGTTCTGGATCCTGGTCGAGGACGTCGACGGCGAGGTCGTCCTCTTCCACGACCAATTCCTGCTCCTCCGCCGCTACGCCGAGGACGAGCACACCGTCACCTTCACCATCCCCATGACCGAGCCGGTGCCGCCCAACTACTACATCAGCGTCGTCAGCGACCGCTGGCTGCAGAGCGAGGTGCGGCTGCCCATCTCGTTCAAGAACCTCATTTTGCCCGAACGCTTCCCGCCCCACACGCCGCTGCTCGACCTGCAGCCCCAGCCGGTGTCGGCGCTCCGCGACGCCGCCGCCGAGGCCGTCTACGCGTCGGCGTTCCGCACTTTCAACAAGGTCCAGACGCAGACCTTCCACGCCCTCTACGGCGGCGACGACAGCGTCTTTGTCGGCGCGCCGGCGGGCAGCGGCAAGACGGTCTGCGCCGAGCTGGCGCTGCTGCGGCTGTGGCACGACGCCGACGCCGGCCGCGCCGTCTGCATCGTGCCCTTCGACGCGATGGTGGCGCCGCGGGTGGCCGAGTGGAAGGCCAAGTTTGGCGCGTACCGCGGCGGCAAGGAGGTCGTCGGCCTGTCGGGCGAGACGAGCGCCGACCTGCGGCTGCTCGAGATGGCCGACGTGGTCGTGTCGACTCCCGAGCACTGGGACGTCCTCTCGCGCCGCTGGCGCCAGCGCAAGAACGTGCAGACCGTCGCCCTCTACCTGTTTGACGAGCTGCAGATGATTGGCGACTGGCGGGTCGGCCCGACGTACGAGATTGTCGCGTCGCGCGCCCGCTTCGTGGCGGCCCAGACGCAGAATCCGACGCGGATGGTGGCGCTGAGCGCGCCGCTCGCCAACGCTCGCGACGTCGGCGACTGGCTCGGCGCGCCGAGCGGCAGCGTCTTCAACTTTGCGCCGAGCGCGCGAGCCGTTCCCATGGAGGTTCACATCCAGAGCTTCTCGATCCCGCACTTCCCCTCGATGATGCTGGCGATGGCCAAGCCGGCCTACCTCGCCATCCTCGAGTACGCGCCCGACCAGCCCGTGCTGGCGTTCGTGCCGTCGCGCAAGCAGGCCAGGTCGACGGCCAACGACCTGCTGGCCTACGTCATGGCCGACAGCGACGTCGACGGCGGCGGTGACGGCGAGAGCCGCTTCCTCAACATCGAGCCCGCCGACCTCAAGCCGCACCTCGAGCGCGTCGAGGACCGCGAGCTGGCCGAGCTGCTCGAGCAGGGCATCGCCTACTACCACGAGGCCATGTCGCGCGGCGACCGACGCATCGTCGAGCGCCTCTTTTCGGCCGGCGCGATCCAGGTGGTGGTGGCGAGCAAGGAGACGGCGTGGAGCATGCCGCTCCAGGCGCACCTGGTGCTGCTGCTGTCGCTGCAGACGTACGAGGGCAAGGAGCACCGGTACATCGACTACCCGCTGACCGACATGCTGCAGATGGTGGGGCGCTCGACGATCCCCGACGAGAGCGGCAGCAGCCGCTGCATCCTCCTGTGCCAGGCGACGCGCAAGGACTACTTCAAAAAGTTCCTCGCCGAGGGCCTGCCGCTCGAGAGCCGGCTCAACGCCTACGCCCAGGACTTTTTCAACGCCGAGATTGTGGCGCGCACCATTGACGACAAGCAGTCGGCCGTCGACATCCTCACCTGGACGCTCCTCTACCGCCGGCTGCAGCAGAATCCGCAGGCGTACAACTGCCAGGGCCGGACGATGCAGCACATTGGCGACTACCTGTCGGAGCTCGTCGAGACGACGCTGGCCGACCTCGAGGGCAGCAAGTGCATCGCCATCGAGGACGACATGGACGTCAGCCCGCTCAACCTGGGCATGATTGCCAGCTTCTACAACGTCAGCTACGTCACCATCGACGTCTTCAACCTGTCGCTCAAGGAGCGCACCAAGCTGCGCGGCCTGCTCGAGATTGTCAGCTCGGCCGCCGAGTTCGAGGACGTGGCCATCCGCCAGCACGAGGACGCCGTGCTCAAGCGCATCTACGACCGGCTGCCGCTCAAGCTCGACCGGATCAGCTTCACGTCGCCCTACCACAAGGTGTTTGTGCTGCTCCAGGCCCACTTTGCGCGCCTGACGCTGCCGGCGGACCTCGAGGCCGACCAGCGCCAGGTGCTGGCCAAGGTGCTCAACCTGCTCAGCGCCTGCGTCGACGTCATGTCGAGCAACGCCCACCTCAACGCCATCGTCGCCATGGAGCTGAGCCAGATGGTGGTGCAGGCCGTGTGGGACCGCGACTCGCCGCTGCGCCAGGTGCCCCACTTTACCGCGGCCACGATTGAGCGCTGCCGCGCCAAGGGCATCGACGACGTCTTTGCGCTCTCGGACACGCTGCCGGACCTCGACGACGCCGAGCGCGACCGCCTGCTCCAGCTCGACCGGCGCCAGCTCGCCGACGTGGCGCGCTTCACCAACTCGTTCCCCTACGTCGAGGTGGGCTTCGACATCGAGGACCGCGACGCGCTGTCGAGCGGCAACCCCATCACGCTTCATGTCGACCTGGAAAAGGACGTCGACGAGGATGATGAGGGAGCGGCGGACGAGACGGTGATTGCGCCCTTCTACCCGAACAAGAAGCTGGCAAACTGGTGGATCGTCGTGGGCGATCCGGGTCGGCGGAACCTGCTGAGCATCAAAAAGGTGACGCTCAAGAGGCAGCTGCGCGTCAAGCTCGAATTTGAACTGCCAAAGGTGCGTTGCGAAGTCATCTTGCCCCACTTGGGCCACGCGTGCCCGGGGGTTTGCATCGTTTATATCCTGACCGAAACTGACCTGACACTTGTTGCTTTCCCCTTTTCGCTTCTTGTTCGTCCTTTCGCCATCGGCAGGGTCAACACGATACGCTCAAGCTGTACCTCATGTGCGACAGCTACGTCGGGGCGGATCGCGAACTCGACCTCGGTCCACTTACCGTCGTTCAGGGTGTCGATTCGGATGAAGAGGAATCCGACGACGACGACGACGAGGATGAGGAAGATGAGGAGAAGGAGGAGGGTGGAGGACCGAATGGCGCCACTGCCACGGCGACGGCGGATGCCGATCAGGAAATGGCGGATGCGTCCAGCTAGGAGGCCAGCTTATCATCGTAAAGAGAAAGTAGATCGTCGTCGTCGCACGCGATTTCCTATACCGCCCTCGATTGGAATCGAACTCCGTGCAGTAACGAGTGCAACCCTATCCCACCCCCCTGTCTCTAACTTGAGGCCAGGCTGAGTCTCGCGCCTTTTCCTTGGTTCACCCCCCCTCGCTGCGCGGGAACGGACCGAAGGCTCGGCTCAGTCGAGACACAAACGACGCAACGACGAGTCAGGGACCTTCCAGAGAGTGTCACGCGGCTGGCGAGAGGTACATGAGAGACAAAGAGGCGACCGAGTGGCACTGCCCGTAGGGGGATGGCCGGGCGGACGTGGAGTGAGAGCGGGGGCTCTGAGAAAAGCGGCCCGAGGCGAGGCGAGGGCTGGACGAGTCGGGACACGGAATCGAGCTAGACACGAAGCGAGCTAGGAACCGATCGAGAATGCAGACGCAGGAACTTTCGCGCGCGACGGGAAGAAGCCGATAAATCGAGGTGGGTGCGGGAGGTGGGTATAGGGCCATCGGCACAGAGGAAGAAAGGAGAGAGGCGGAGGAGGGGACGGGCATACATCGAGTGTCGCTGCTGGATGCTGGGTGCTGCTGGATGCTTGATGCTGGATACTGGCTGCCGCAACCGGGGGGGGCCGAAGTCGGCGGCTTCGAGGGGACAAAGTGTGTAGAGGGGCACCAAAGCCCCGCACACCGCCCTCTCACATGTAGATCCGCTTGATCTCGTCCTTGTACTTCTCGATGATGTCTTTCCTCTGCAGCTTCTGGGCGGCCGTCATGCTGAGCTCCTCGTGGACGAGGAGGACGCACTGGAGCTGCTCGAGGCTCTTGAAGCCGGCCTTCTTGCCGACGGCGTTAACCTCGCGCAGCACCAGCTCGGCCACCTTCTTGTCGTGGCACATTTCGTCGAGCTCGCCGCGCTTGAGGCCGGCCTTTTCGACGGCGGCGCCCAGCGTCTCCTCTTTGGGGAAGATGACGGCCATCGGCTGCTTGGCGTCCGAGTTGGCGTGGACGCAGATGTTGGCCACCAGCTCGCACGACTTGTACGTCGACTCGAGGCGCTCAATGGCGATGTACTCGCCGCCCGACAGCTTGACCAGGTTCTTCTTGCGGTCAATGATGCTCAGCGTGCCGTCCTGGTTCCACTGTCCGACGTCGCCCGTCATGAGCCAGCCGTCCTCGGTGATCGTCTCGCGCGTGATGTCGTCGCGCTTGAAGTAGCCCTTGGTGACGGCGGGTCCGCGGATGAGGATCTCGCCCTGCGGCAGCGGCTTGTTGGTGGCAAAGTAGCCGGCGTCAGGCACGTCCTTGAGCTTGACCTCGATGGCCGGGACGGGCACGCCGACCGACGAGTACTGCATGAACTCGGGCGTAAGGATGGCGCACATGCCGCACGACTCGGTCATACCGTAGCCCTGCAGCAGCTGGACGAGGGCAATGTCGAGGAACTCCTGCGTTTCCTTACTGAGCGGCGCGCCTCCGCTGAGCGCCAGGCGCAGCCGGCCGCCGGTCTGGTCCTTGACCGCCTTGAAGACGACCGAGTCGGCGACGCCGCTGAGCACGGGGATCTTGTTGCGCTTGATCGTCATGGCGCCGTTGAAGACGCTCTTCTTGACGCTGCTGGCGTTGACCTTGGCCACGATTCCCTTGCGGATCAGCTCCCAGACGGCGGGGACACCGACCATGATGCTGGGCCTGAACGCCTTGATGTCGCCGTCGCAGTTGCGGACGCTGGCCTGAGTCAGCGTCTTGACCTTGGCGTAGCCCATCGTCACGCCGACGTAGATCATGGCACACTCGACGATAAACTCGAGGATGTGGGCGAGGGGCAGATAGGCGATGTAGGTGTCATCGGGCTTGAGGTGGGAGCCGAGTAGCTGCTCGACGCCACCAATGGCGGCCACCAGATTCGAGTGGGTCAGGATGACGCCCTTGGGCGCGCCCGTGCTGCCCGACGTATACATGATGCAGGCGACGTCCTCGGCCTTGGCCGGGTTGGGCTCGGCCGGGTTCTCCTTGCCGCGCTTTCGCAGCTCGTCGAGCGTCAGCACCTGGGTTCCCTCGCGACCCTCGAGCTTGTCGGTGAGCTTCTTGAGCACATCGTCCTTGGCCTGGCCATCGTAGATGACGTACTTGACCGTCGGCGTCTTGTCAATCACGTTGGCGAGCGTCGGCAGCAGGTCGGCGTTGGTAAAGATGCCGACCACGTCGGGCTCGGACAGCGAGTGCTGGAGTCCCTCCTCGCCCAGCGTGTCGTACGCCGTGCAGAAGGGGATGCTCTGCCGGAAGCAGGCGTGGGCCATGTTCTGCCAGTTGACGCCGGTGCTGGCGTAGATGTTGAAGCGGGTGGCACTAGTCAGCCCGAGGCCGCGCAGACCGCTCGAGGCGTCCTGGATGCGCTGGTCGAGCTCAGTGTAGGTGAGGTACTGCGAAATGTTAAAGAGCACGCCACAAGCAGCGCCAGAGAGAAAAAGAGAGAGGAGGGCCGAGGGCGGCACGAGAGGCGTCAGAGGTCCGCATCACGCAGGCAGCAAGCGCACATATACCGAGGTCCGCTGGCTCACCTTGTAGTCGCTCAGCTCGTAGAACTCCCACTTCTTCATCTCTGCAGGAGGTGGGCTCGTCGGGCGGTGGCACGTGTTCGTCAGACGTGGTTCCAAATCGGTGGCACCTAGGCTGGAGCTCGTGCCCCAGAGGCCGCAGCGATGGAAGCCGAGCCTCTGGCACCGTCGCGCCGCCTGGACGCCATCGCAAACTCACCCTTGACCTCCTTTCCGTCCTTCTTCTTGGTGATTTCCTTCTCCTCTTGGTGCACGTTGACGATGTCTCGCCATCCCATGACGGGGCGGTTGGGGAACCCTGGTGCGGGAAGGGGAGAGCGGGAGAGGCGGCCAAAGATCAGCACCTTTGCACTGCGCTGCGCCGGGCTGTCGGATAGAGGCAGCTTTGGGGGGAAGGGCCGAATGCGCGCTACTCACTCTTGAGGGAGTGGGAAAAGACATCGGCCATGGTGTAAATGTCGGCGGCTGGGCCTTCGACGAGCTTGTCGGGGGTGCAGAAGGCGCGGCGGACCTTGGTCTCGCCCTTTGCGGCCTCGCCAATCTCTACGCTAGCGGAGCGGACCATGGTGGCGGCAGGAGCGCTTCGCTGGTGCGGTTGCTGCGGGTGATACGGCGGTTTGCGGTTGGTGGAGGCGGCTGGAACGCAAAGCTGTTCTGCTGGTGGGGCAGAGCAGGCGTGGGATCAAATGAGATGGGGGTGACTTTGTCGATTCGGGGTATCAGCAGTGAGTGCGGAGGAACGACGGTGGTCGTGAGAGTGTGTGGTGACAAGAGAAGAGAAGAGGCAGGAGGAGGAGGCGGGGTCGATGCGCGAGGTGAGGCCGAAACCAAGGGCGCCCTTTTGAGCCTGGGGGCACGCCAGGCGCGGCGACGAGCGGCCAGGAGGCCTGAGCGTGGGTGCGGCCGCGGCCTTGGCCTGACCTGACCTGGCGAGCGAGGCAGGCCGGCAGGCTGGGGTTGGCAGCGCTCGCCTGGCCCTGGCCTGCCCTGGGCCTTGGCTGGCTGGCTTGGCCATCGGAGTGGAAAAAAGGATGCGCGCAGCCAGGCGGCCAGCCGACCGACCAGCCGCCCCGCCCTTGGCTCGCCCGCGCCGCTGCCCTGGGGTCGGCTGGCTGTCCAGCTCTGACGTCGACAGCTGCTCCGCGCCCTTGCTTGCCGCCCAATCCCAACTTACCCTTCTCTACCTTGACCCCGGACCTCCTTCTCTCTCTGTCTCGCGGTCTCACGGCGTCGTCCCTGCCTGCCCCGCTTTTGCTCGCCTCGTCGTCGATTGACGCTTTGCTGATCCGCCGCCTCTTGCTGGGGCTGGCGACTCTAACCTCGTTTGGGAGCATCGATCCGCTGCGTTTAGCGCTCGACTTTCTCCTTCTTTCCCTCTTTGAGCGACCGGCAGGGGGCCGCCCGTCATCATGTGGAGAAAGGAAATCTTTGGCTGGGCATCGCATTTCACGCTCTCGAGCGAGCGAGGGCCCTCCGCCGTGGACCCGTAGCGCCCTCTAGAGACCAACAAAGCTCAGCTAGGGAGGCATCGCCCAAAAGCGAGGACCAGGACCCGGTCTCACCGCCAGAGAGCTAGTCTACCGGCCGCACCACCGCTACGCCAGCTAGGCTCTTGCTCCGGCTCTCGCCGCCCGCGGGTCCCCCTCCGAAACCGCGCCCCTCGCCGTCCATACCATCTAGGCCAGGCCAGCCCTGGACTGGCCCAACGAAACTTTGGCCGCCATGCGCGCATTCACGCCGCCGCCGCCGCCGCCACCGCCTCGCCGTCCGGTGAAGTGAGGCGGACGAGGGCCTGCCACCGGCAGGTGTGGCCGGTCGGTGATGCGCAGAAGCTGGTTGGCCTCCAGGCTGCCTGACAACCTTGTTTTGAAATTCCTTGATTCCTTCTTCGAACCTGCAGCGCAAGCACGCCGGCCGGTCCGTTTGTCGGGTGTGTTGGCAGAGAGGTGGTCAGCCCTTCCCGGTCCTGACGGCCTCGCCGACATCGATACGGCAGGCGGTACCTACGAGCGGCCTGCCTGGGTGCGTGGCAGCCACCGCCGTGTGTCGTCGTCGTCGTCGTCGTCGTCGCCGCTTCTCGCTCCCCGCTCCCCGCCTCCTCACGAGTCCAGGCACCGCCCGCCGGTCCGATCCGATGATGGTGAGCAAAGGCAGGCCCATATGGCTCCCGAGGTGACGTCGCTGCGTTCGCAAACACCCAACCGAGATCCCCCTCGCAACTTATGCCGGCCTCACATGCCCAACAACAAACGCACGACTAACGGGCAGCAAGAGAGGAAGGCGAGCAAGCGAGTTTGGTGATGTTGGGGGCTTGGGGGGCCAGCTGGCAAACGTCCGACCGAGTCGGCTGGATGAACAGGCAGCAGGCAGTCCGGCAGGATCAGGCCGGAAAAGCCAGGTGCGCCGGGCAGACGAAGCCAACAGGCGAAGTCGAGGGCCATTCCTGGTGCGGCGACGGCGAATCTATCCGGGCGGGGTCGACGGGTGGAGACGACGGGGACAGGGACAAGGGCGACCCTACGACGTACATACAGTAGTACGGCTAGCCTGGCCAGCGTTGGCCGCTTTCACGAGGGGCTTGCCACGCTCCCTCCTCGACAGAAAAAAACCGGCGGGCGAGCGAGGCGGGCGGCGGCGGTGGCGAGAAACGGTGGCTTGCTTGCTGGGGGCTGCTCGCTCGTTCCTGGACCAACGTTGACGTTCTGCGCATCGCAGATGCTCCATCTTGGCTTGCTTGCCACTACTCTGCCTGCATCCTCCTGCTGCTCTGTTTGTGGGAAACTCTGCCTCTGCTGCTCGAGGTCGGAGCTGCCATGGGCGACGCAGGTGCCCGCTTGGGCCTTGGCGCTGGGTCAAGCGGCCACGCAGGCAGCTGTCAACCGCCCGACCATCGTGCGCCGGGCGTGTGAACATGGCGTGGCCAGGCCGAACGTCGGTACCTCTCGCCATGCTTATACCTCTTGCTGTGCCGGCCCCCTGAGCATCCGGGCGCTGCTCAGCCGTTGGCGGACAAGATCGGAGGGCCAAGACGAGGCGTCGCTGTGCAGCCAAGCCAGGACCAAGCGCAGCCAAGCACCCACCGTGCGGTGCGCCAAGCAAAAAGGAGCACACGACCTCGCGCGGCCTGGCACGGCCTGGCCTTGCCATAGCGAGGACGAGGTGGCAAAGCCAGCAGCTCCGACCGTTGGCATCGGCGGCTGTTGCTGGGGTTGTCGTCGCCTTGTGTCGGCCGAGAGCGATGCCGCGGCTACGCGTCGCGAGGACAAGGTAGATCTCGGGAGACGGCCCAGAACAGGCTGCAGGTCGGACGGGCGGGCGGGCGGACCAGCACAGCTCCACCCACGACCACGGCGGCGGCCAGACGGAAAACAGATGAAGCACCACCACCACGACCACCACTCCCGTCACCAATCTCACCGCGAGCACGCCGTCCGCCGCACGCGCGTACGCAACTGAAAGCGGATCATCGCAAATCGGGAAAAGAGCGCAGACACGGTTCTCTCCACTTCCAGAGCGCTCGCACATACATTCAACATTTCCTTCGCCCATCCAGCCCGCCGACAGCTGAACCGCGCATCGACATGCTGTACGCCGAGAGCGAAAAGGTGCTCTGCTACCATGGCCCGCTCATCTACCTGGCCAAGGTAGGTCCGCTCCGTGTCGGTGCAGCGATGCGGCCCGTTGTCTGCAGCCTCGCACTGATCCCGACACGCATGCCTCCGTTCATTACCCTTGGCGACGACGACTCCTCGGCGCAGATCCTCAAGGCCGAAAAGTGGACGGGCGACGACAACGCGACCCACCAAGTAGGACCGCACTACCTCGTCCACTACGACGGCTGGAAGAAGACGTGGGACGAGTGGGTGCCCGAGTCGCGCCTGCTCAAGCACAACGACGAGAACTTGGCCAAAAAGGCGGGGCTCGAGGTGGCCGCCAAGGCCGGGTCCCTCACGGCCTCGGGCGCCGCCTCGGAGACCAAGGCGACCAAGGAGACGAAGAAGGGCGCGGGGGCGGCGGCGGCCTCTGCGAGCGCGGCGGGTGGCGACGGGTCCGAGCGCAAGTCGACGGCGGCAAGAGGGACAAAACGAGGCCGAGAGGCCGAGCACGAAGACGAGTACATCAAGCGCCCCGAGATCAAGATCCCGATACCGGACGTGCTCAAGGTGCAGCTCGTCGATGACTGGGAGAACGTGACCAAGCACGAGCAGGTCAGTCCGGCGCGTGGCCATGCTGCTTCGATGAGAAGGAGGGAGAGCGCGCATGCTGACCCAGGATGAACCGGACCTGCCTTCTGGCCTCTGCACCGCAACAGCTCGTCAGGCTGCCACGGAAGCCGTGCGTCAACGACATCCTCGAAGACTACAAGGCGCACTACCTGGCAAACAAGAAGGAAAACAAGAGGTGAGTCAGCCGGCGTAGCGTGCCCGTCGCCCGTCGCAGCAGCGTCCTCGCGCTGAGCCCCGCCTATCACCCTGCATGCCTCTGCCTCGAACCGTGCCGTCGCATCACTTCTCCAGATCACCACAGGTGCTCGACGAGGTGCTCAAGGGCCTCAAGCTCTACTTTGACCGCTCGCTGGGCCAGAACCTGCTCTACAAGCTCGAACGGGCGCAGCTGGCCAAGTACCGCCTCGACCACGGGCCCAAGATGGGCGACGGCGACATCTCGTCGTCGCCATCGGCCGCGGCGGCTGGAGGCGCCGCGCATGGCAACTCCAACAGCAGCGGTGGTGGTGCTGCTCGTAGCGGCGCAGCGTCAGCGACGACGGGCAGCGCGGCGGCGGTCAACGGCGATGCGCTCGAGCCGAGCAACATCTACGGCGCAGAACACCTGCTCCGCCTCTTTGTCAACCTGCCCATGATTATTGTGCACACCTCGATGGACGCCGAGAGCATCGCGGTGCTCAAGGAGCACCTGGCTGAGTTCCTGTCGTGAGTTTCCGGACCCCTACCGTCCTGTCTGCCCGCTACGTCTGCGCATCTGCTCCAGGACTGACACCCCTCCCATCACCTCTTTGCCATTGTATTCCTGCGACGCGGACGGCGTACGCACAGGTACATGGTCAAGGAGAAGCAGCGTCTGTTCACCCGCGACTACGAGACGGCCACGGCGTCGCAGCAACGTCTTAGTGCCACGTAGCCGCCCGCAGCGCGGATGCAATGCGATGATGTCCAAATGCCGTGTCGTGGATCGCGATCCCGTTCGTGGATGCGTGCGGATAGGGGACTCTGTCGTGCGTCAATGGCGAGGTTGACGAAGTCTTCATCCCACCGACCCCGTGTAGATCTCGGCGGAAGGACAATGAATACGGCTATACCTCGACCGAATCGGTAGAGGCTGCAGTGGCTCCCCGCCGCCGCCGCGGCGCGTACGTTGGGAAGGGCGCGATTCCACCTGCGTCTGCGTCTGCGTCTGCGTCTGCTGCGTCTGCGTCTGCGGATGGAGTTGCGGCTGCGGTAAAGCAGGAGATGCTTGGACTCGAATTCGGTCCGATTCGGGTTCGGACGGTGCAGATGGCCGCTCCGATACCGTACGGATCGCGAGCTTGATCCATCTCCGCGGCCTGTTGAGGGAAACGACGAGAAAGGTAGCGACCATCTGCGACCGGTATGCAGGGACACGGTATCGACTCGTGTCAGTGCCGCTGTCCGAGCGATCGACCGCTCGCTCTTGTCGTGGCGTGACCACGCCGAGCTCGCACGCTCACCGCCAAAGCGCCGACGAGGAGACGCACAAAGTGCGCCACACGCACCGCCAGGCTCGTCAGGACGCACACGACCAGCCAGATGATGCGGACCGTCGTGCCGGTCGCCCGAGCTGCGCCAGACAGGCCCAGCTTGGTCGACAACCAGCCCGACACGAGGTCGAGAGCTGCGTGCGTTCGAGTAAGGAGCGAGTATCGGGCACGGGGCCGAGTGAGTCTCTCGCATGCTGCGTCTCGGCGGCCGGCCAACCCGCGACACTCACGATACCACGTTGGCGCCCTGGCGTTGCGTGCGGCAGAGGAAGCGGGGTCGAAGAGCGCATCTCGCCCCTGAGCCGTCGTCGGCACCTCGTACAGATCCACGCCCACCAGGCGACCGAACAGGACGAGCGCCATGCCCGAGTAGCTCTGGGCGGGCCTCGTCCACCGGTCCGCGGTCGACATCGTGACACGACCCCACTCCGCTTCCACCCTCTCCCTCTCGCTACGCAGCAAGTCCCAGCGATCGCTCTCGTTGATCAGCCGATGTGTGTGCGCTGCAAAGGCCATCGTCGCCGCCTGCATCGCCCCCTGCTGGTCGCTGGCTAGGAGGGCAAGCCCGTCCCGCGTCCTGTCCAGGTAGGCTGATGCCGAGCTGCTCGCGTCTTTGATAGAGTTGACCAGGTCCAGGGCGGGCACCAGCTCGTGCTCGAGTCGTTGTGCGGCGAGTCGTGATGCGCCTGACAGGGCATCTTCGAGAGATTGGGCATGCCTCTTGAGCACGGTGTCGAGCCCTGTCGCGACCTGTTCCAGCCCACGTCGGTACATCTCGCCGTCAGCCAGGCGTGTTGGTGACGTCCGTATCGAGCTGCGGTCTGTTCGCTCACCTCGCTCTGGGCGGCCTGCATCAGCCGAGTGATGTCGGCCGAAGCTGTTTCGAAGACGCCCGTCGCGATGTTCTCGCCATGTCTGGACAGACGTGCAAGGGCCTGGCTCGGACCAAGGCCCCGATCTTGGTTCAGTCCGACCTTGTCGTGCCGGCTCATCCGCGTGGTTTTCCAGCTGCTCACCTGCTCAAGGGTCACAGAGGCGTCTGCCCGCAAGCGACCGGCTTCACCTGCGATGCGACGAAGAGCTTCACCCGCTGCCGTGTCTAGGCTGGCCACCAAGGAAATCAGGGCCTGATGGCGGGCGAGTCGAGCGATCTCAGTGAGCTGGATGGGATGCCTCCTTTTCTGAAGTGCCATGGCAGGCTGCCTCGCTCACTTCATTCTCCCTGCGCTGCACCTCGTCGAAGCTGCGGAGCGACGCCTGGAAGCTCTCGAGCGCCTCTTCCTGCCTGTCGTGGTGGCGACGGACCACCTCCCGAAGCGAGGCTCCGTCTTGAGCGGCAGCCCTGTAGAGGTCTCTCGCGGTGTCTGCGGAAAGGATGGCGAGGTGACCGATTTTGGTCGGTGAGTCTCATCAGGACACGGCGGGGCGTCTGGGCTCCGTCGCCAGACGGAGGCGGATCGACCATGGCTCACCGATCTCGTGCCAGCGTCGAAGCGCAAAGCAGATCTGCGGGACGTCGCGGAGATAGCCCGAGTACGAGGACCACGCCTGCGGGCTGCGCGAAAGGGCCCTGACCGTTGCAACGTGCCGCACGAGGCCAGAGAGGGAAAAGTGAGCCTCCGGACCGCTGACCCCATCGAGGCGGTGACGGGCAGCGTTGCTCACTGAACGCAGCTCGACAGGCTCTGCTCACCGACTTGCGATGCATTCGCCTCTGCATCGAGGATGCCCGAGCACTCGAGTGGCAGAGGCTGCAGCGCCGAGGTCAAGTCGCAGGCGGCGAGCCGGATGGCGGCTGCGAGCATTTTCCGGCGAGAATAATCATGGCAAAGCGAGTCAGCCTTCGATGCCGCGTCCTCGCCGAGCACAGAGGAGTGCCGGCTGCCATCGCCCACCTAGGCTCTTGTCGAGGGCGTTTGAGTCAAGCTCGTCGCCACATTGGCTCTTGACCTTGACCATGGCCTCGGCGTGGCAGTCGTGCTTGCGTTGCTCCCGTGCCTCCAGCCTTCGAAGGGTCGCTGCGGAGAGAGGCGCGGATCACCACCGGGGCGTTGGCATCTCGCGTTTCGTCCCGACGTCAGCATCGGCTCCTGCCTCTGAACGACGGGCTTACCTCTACCGGCTTCAACGGCGGCTTCCTCGCCCCGGCTGAGGACTGTCGTCGTCGAGTAGAGGCAGACTTCAGCACTTGTCGAGGGTTTGAAGAGCCAAAGGGCCGACCCGGAAGACGCAGATCACTGACCGGGGTCTAGCGTCGGAGAGGGTGAGGCTGGCCTTGACCAACGCAGCGCGAGCGAGCTGGGCGGGCCGAGGCCCAGGATGACCAGCACGAGGAGCAGCGAGGGCATGAGCATCGATCTCGGCCACATCATCATGAAACACAAGTCCGCGCTGCGTGCGCGGGAAGGCGGGGAAACGAGGGGATTGAGGACGGCGATGGTGGCAAGAGGGGATGGGTGGGCGGCGCGCTGCTCTAGGCATCCTCGAGGTCGAAGAGCCGAGGCCGGGGGCGAGGGCAAAGCGGTCGCCGCTCGCTGCAGGCGCCTCGAACAGCGCCCAAGGTGCCCGCCCCCGCCCAGCAGCAGCCCAGCGGATCGCGCCACCGCAGCCGAGAGCGAGCTAGCTAGACGGACCGCTTGGCTCGATCGCTGCTCCGTGTCTTCGGCCTGGCCTCGGCCCGTCGGCCAAAGTTTGAGGCAGCATCACGTCTCGGCGATCGGAGCGGGACCGATTCGCTGCCTTAGGCGGGCTAGCCGCACAGCCGCCTGGCAGCTATGATCAGAGCCAAGCACAGCCGCGAACGGTGGCGACAAGACTCATTCACGCCCGTCCCGGATCGGTGCTCTACATCGGAGGGGAGGCCAGGACCAGAGGCCGAAGCAGCGCAAGGAAAGTGTAAGCTTAAGACAGAGTAAAAAAGGAGAAAGAGGCCGGGTACCAAAGCGGCGAGACAGAGGAAGACGGGCAAGCGGTAGGGGATCGACAACGCCGGGCCAGCGGGGGAGGGATGGACTGGGGCGAAGGGGGGCAGGTGGCACACGAAACGACCGGGCGCGCCCCAGGACGCCGAGAGGGAGGCTGGCGGGGCGCAGAGACGGCGCCGCTGCCGAAGGGCAAGACCCCTCCTGTGACGGCCCAACTGCCCCGGGGTCGGTGGGCGGCCCGCTCAGTTGCGGAGCGAAAAGCCCTTCTTCTTGGTCGCCTGCGACACCTTCTCTGGCGTGAGCGGGCGGCCGCTCTCGAGCCTTCTCCTCTTGTCCTCGAGCTCGAGCCTCTGCTTTTCGAGGGCGTCGCGCATCTCGCGGTGGCGCGCGTAGAGCTCCTCCTCGCTCTGCTTGAGCTTTGCCTCTTTTTCGGCCACCTTTTGCTGGAAGACGAGCTTCATCTCGTTTTCCATCTTCCGCAGCCGCGCCTCGTGCAGCGACCGCTCCTCGGCCATCTTGGCCGCCGGGTTGACCTCCTTGAACACGCTGTGGTCCTGCGTCACGCCCATCGCCGTCAGCTTCTCGCTGCGGTACTTTTCGTACAGCACGTTGTTGGTGTGCTCCTTGAGCTCCTCCATGTGCGTGTGGATCAGCATCTGGCGCAGCTTGACAAAGTCGCAGTGCTCCTCGTTGTCGACCTCGATGACGCCCCAGGGGTACGCGCGGCCGCGCACCCGGCGGCCGTCGGGCGTGTCAATCTCGGTGTTGGAGCCGACGACGGCGAACGGCACCTTGGCCGAAATCTCCTGGATCTCGAGCATCGTCTCCTCGTCCTCGTTCTCGTAGATGGGCGCGTGGAAGATCTCGATGTTGTGGTAGGCGATGTCGTTGAGGATCCGCTGCTTGAACGCGACAATCTCCTCGTCGGTCAGCGTGTCCGACTTGGCAATGACCGGGATGAGGTTGACCTTCTGGTGCAGCCGACGCATGAACTCGATGTCGATCGGTCGAAGGCTGCCACGACGCGAGAAGAGGGCGAGGGCGAGGGCGAGGGCGAGGACGGGGGGGGCGAGCAGGTTGGCACAATCCGCGGGAATGTCAGCTGACTGGTCGCTTTGGCTTCCGGCGGCAACCACCAGCACCGCCAAAGGCACGCTCTCGTGCGCAGCACCCATCTCGCTCGACTTACGAGTGGCCCGTGGGCTGGACAAAGTAGATGCAGGCGTGGACGCGGTTGTCCTGCATCTTTGTCCTGTTGACGCGGTTCTCCTGCTCGAGGTAGGCGTCGAAGCGCGACTCGATGTTGTCGACGACGGGCTTCCAGCTGCAGGTGCCAGGGGGCAAGGCGCGTAGAAGGCGGCGATGCACGGTTGCTCGGTCAGCGGGTCGGTCGAAGGCATCCGAACCCGGACCCAGGCCCCATCGAGCGGCTCACCTCTCATCGTTGTTGACAAAGTCGCCGAAACCGGGCGTGTCGACGACGTTGAGGCGCAGGCGGACGCCGTTCTCGTCAATGTCTGTGCGGTCGGAGAGCGATGGCGGTGGAGCGAGCGTGCATGGTCGTTGACAAGAGGTCAGCGGGAAGGCTCAGCAGCCACGGACGTAGAGTGTTTCGAGGACTCACCAGCGCTGATGCTCTCGATGGCGACCGTCTTGGGCCTCTCCTGGTGTGGTGGCGCAACCTGCTTGCGAGGGTAGAGGGTGGTGTTGAAGAGAGTGTTGATGAGGGTCGACTTGCCGAGACCGGACTCGCCTGCATTGGCCAAGGCGGATCAAGGCATGTAGACAAGTGGTCAGCAACGGCTGGTGGCGCACATAAGATGGAGCCAAGTAGCAGTCCTCCGTCGCTCTGGTGCTCCAAAGGTGCTGGAGGACAAGCGACGGCGGCAACAGCTGCCACCGGTTTCATGAAGGCCGGCCAAGACATGGCCCCGCTGCATGCGCTGTCGCTTGGAAACTCACCGACAACCATTGCAGTGAAGCTGAAACCCTTGCGCACGCTCTTGCGGTGGACCTGGTTGGGCAGGTTGGCAAAGCCGACGTAGCCCATCAGCTTCTTTCGTGCCAGGCCGGCGACGGTGCTGGCATCGGCGGCGGGAGCGCCGTTCGTCGGTGCGAGTTCGGCCATGTCGAATCAGTGAGGCCCAAGGGCAGAGGCTGGAGGCAGGTTCCGGATGAAAGGTCGGAGGGACGGAAGGTCGGGGCGGGTAAGGGCAAGAAGGCGGCCGTCGAAAGCAAAAGTGCGGACTTGCTTCTTCAAGAGCGCGCTAAGAGATACGATCGGCGACCGAGAGGCAGCGTTAGATGGAGCGAAAGGTCGCACGGACGGTTGGCCTTGGATCCTCTAGAGAGTTGGCCGCGCGTGAGCCGAGATGATATCCGCAAGACGAAGTCGAGGTCGAGATGGCGGCGGTGCAGAGCGTCGACGAGGTGATCGCGATGAGCGCGAGTGGAGCCAGGCGAAGGGAAAGAGGTAGGGATGGAGAGGAGAGGCAGCCAAAGGTGACGGGCAGCAACGATGGGGCAACGAGGAGCGGCAGGTGAGGCAGGCAGGAGGGATGACGGGAGGGCAGGGGAGCGAGCGATGCGATGCGGAGCCAGACAGATGAAAGGTCGGGTGCGCGCGTGTGTGTGCGGTACGGGCTGGCGGGGCACACGCTGGTGGGTGGGGTGTTGCAAGCGCAAGGCAGGCAGGCTGGCTGGCTAGCTTCGCAGGCAAAGGCAGGCGAGCCTAGGCAGGAGGAGGGCTCGCCTGCCGCCTGCCTGCCCGCCTGCCTGCCTGCTCGCCTTGACCTGGGAAGTGGCCTGGGCGCCAGCCTGCTGGCCTCCTCGCTCCTTCTTGCCAGGCCAGGTCGGGCCCCCCTCGCTCTGCCCGCCCGTGCGTGCGTGCGTGCGTGAGTCGCCTGGCCCTGCTGGTTTGGTCTGGCCTGGCGAGGCGGCGGGCGGGCGCTGGATGAACGGCGGGCGGGGGCGGCGTCGGCGGCAGCCTGCGCTCGACCTCGCTGGACTCCCTGGCCTGGCCTGCCTGCGTGGAATTTCCGTCTCGCCCCGCCAGCGCCGCGAAGCGAGGGCCCCCCTCTGCTCTGTCCTCTCGCTTCCGCCAGCTGGCCCCTCCGAGTTTGATGGCCCATGCGCAGCGAGCCTGCAAAAGCCTGGCCTTGAGGCTCGAAAGGAAGGCCCGGGCGCCGCAGCCCGGCGCATCGCTCGCGGGGCGCAAATGGAGGCTTCGGATCCGAGCAGATGCCGATCATCTGGAATGGCGGCGAGTGCGCACCAGCCCATCCCTGAAAGAGGCATAGCCTCTGCCTCTGCTTCTTCTCGCCCCAGCGTGGCCGGGCCCCGCCCCGACGTCGCGAGGACGGGGTTGAGCGACCTGCACACCGCCTCTACCCGTCATCATGGCAGGCAGGGCATTGCGAGCAAGGGCAAGAAACGTTCGCCTCCCGTACGGCAAAAGGAAGAGGCGGCCAGCTGGGGACCACAAGCAAGGGGTGGCAGGCTGCTGACCTGACGCTTCTCAAAAGGCTGACGGCGTCGTCGGCGGGCTGCTGACCTCTCGCAGAGGGTGTTGCGTACGCCTTGCTTGGAAGCTCGCCTGGGGGTGGTCAATCGCCTGATTCTGCCAACGAGCGAAGCAGCGAAGGAGCGGGCGAGCGGCGGGCAGCAGCAGCGGCAAGCACGCACGCACGCACGCACGCACGCACGCACGTTCCCACCCACGGGTCCTTGCTTCCTGCCAGCCTCAGGCCAGCGCCTTTCAGGAAACTCGGTCTTGCGGGCGGGCAAGAGGCAAGGCGCACGCCCGTCCGCGCGCGGTCCAGGCAGCGGAGGGCAGCGGAGGGCAGCGGAGGGCAGCGCAGGGCAGGCGCGGCTTGGATTTCTGGCCAATTTTTTTTTCTTCTCGTTCATCGTGGCCGCCTCCGCTGCGCCGCCTGCCCTGCCCCCTGGATCTTTGTCCTGACGCACCGCTCGTTCCAAGGCTCCTGCCTGCCTGCCTGCCTGCCTGCCCAACACAGCACAGGGCAGCAGGCGGCGGCGGCGGTGGCCCCTCCATCCCCCCGACGCCGCTCCAATCTTCTCGCCGCTGCTGGCTTGCTGGAGTACTTAACCGCCCGCCCTGGTCTACGTCCCCTTCCTGTCCCACCACCACCCCAACCACCACCTTCTATCCCCTCCTTCACCCTCCCCCCTTTTCATTTTCGCAACCATGCCCAACTACAAGGTGGGTTCCCTGGAATCGCAGGTGCCGACCGGCCCTCTTGGTCCTTGTCCTGCTACCTGGGTGCTGAGCAGGGCTGTCAGTGGACAGGGCCCCGGCGGCGCGGCGAACTCCTTGTCGCGCTTCCCTGTGGAGCGATGAGATTCCGAAACTGACAAATGCCCCCATCTCACCTCTATCCGCGTGATTGCTTTGCGCTGACAGGTCGCCGACATCTCGCTTGCCGCCTTCGGCCGCAAGGAGATTGAGATCGCCGAGGGCGAGATGCCCGGCCTGATGCAGCTGCGTGCCAAGTACGGCCCCCAGCAGCCGCTCAAGGGCGCCCGCGTCACCATCTGCCTGCACGCCACCGTCCAGACGGCCGTGCTGGTCGAGACCATCACCGCCCTCGGCGGCCTCGTCACCTGGTCGTCGTGCAACATCTTCTCGACCCAGGACCACGCCGCCGCCGCCATCGCCGTCACCGGCGTGCCCGTCTTTGCCTGGAAGGGAGAGACCGAGGAGGAGTACAACTGGTGCATCGAGCAGACGCTCAAGGCGTTCCCCGGCGGCGAGGGCCCCAACATGCTGCTCGACGACGGCGGCGACCTCACCTGGATGATCCACAACAAGTACCCCGAGATGCTCGCCGGAATCAAGGGCGTGTCCGAGGAGACGACGACCGGCGTCCACCACCTTTACACGGCCATGAAGAAGGGCACGCTCAAGCTTCCCGCCATCAACGTCAACGACTCGGTGACCAAGTCCAAGTTTGACAACTACTACGGCTGCCGCGAGTCGCTCGTCGACGGCATCAAGCGCGCCACCGACGTCATGCTGGGCGGCAAGGTGGCCGTCGTCGCCGGCTTCGGCGACGTCGGCAAGGGCTGCGCCGAGTCGCTCCGCGGCTACGGCTGCCGCGTCATTGTCACCGAGGTCGACCCGATCAACGCCCTCCAGGCCGCCATGGCCGGCTACCAGGTCGACGTGCTCGACGACGTTGCGCCGATTGCCAACATCTTTGTCACCACGACGGGCTGCCGCGACATTATCACCTCGAAGCACTTTGAGGCCATGCAGGACGACGCCATCGTGTGCAACATTGGCCACTTTGACATTGAGATTGACGTCGCGTGGCTCAAGGCCAACGCCAAGGAGGTGGTCAACATCAAGCCCCAGGTGGACCGCTTCACGCTCCAGAACGGCAAGCGCATCATCCTGCTCGCCGAGGGCCGCCTGGTCAACCTCGGATGCGCCACCGGCCACCCGTCGTTCATCATGAGCGCGTCGTTCTGCAACCAGACGCTCGCCCAGATCGCCCTGTGGAACGACCACGAGGGCAAGTACGAGAAGGGCAAGGTCTACATGCTGCCCAAGGAGCTCGACGAGGAGGTCGCCATGACGCACCTGGCCAAGCTCAACGTCAAGCTGACCAAGCTCACCCAGGTCCAGGCCGACTACCTCGACCTGCCCGTCGAGGGCCCCTTCAAGCGCGACACCTACCGCTACTAGACGGAGGAGCCCACACGGCCCCCGCGGTCGCGCCCCTCCCGCCGCCTTAGAAGCGCTGCTGCTTGCTGCTCGCGCGACGAGGTCGTGCCTGCCTGCCTCGCTCGCTCGCTCCCTGTCCCGGTCTGCGTCCCCATCCATCTTTGATCCACCCCGGCAACGTCCTCTGTTACGCTCCTAGAGCCCCTTTCGCTCCTACCTCACTGTAACACTAGTCTCAACGCGCTACGACCCACTCCTCCCCCCTGTCCCTCCGCCCTTCTTATCGTTTTCGGCTCTGGGCACTGCTGCTGCTACGTCGCACCGGCACGCCAGCCTACCTGAGCCACCACCCAACGTCGACATCAAGGTCTTTCGTCTTCTCGGTCCCTCGTATACAGTCCAAAAAAGCAATGATATTCCCCCGGCCTTCTCAACAAGGCCAAACCTCATCTCACACCCGCGCGCGACGTTGCCTGTGAGCGTGCCGTCGCGAGGTGCGGCTTGTGCTGACCGAGCGGCGCGATGGAAGCGTGGCGAAGTGGCGAGGGCCGGGGCGACCGGCGGCAAAGGGGGCGCAGGCAGCGGCCATGCGGACGGAGGCCAGCCGATCGTCCGGCGGAGGCGGGCGGCGAAGGCGCCGAGAGCTGAGCAGGCGCCCGTCTGTCTGGCCGGCGAGCAGACCGGCGCATTTGCCTCCTCCTCTCTCTTTTTCTCGAAGACTGACCACCGACTCTGCCTCGCCCTAACGTGCTTGCCCGCTTGCAGGCCTGCCTGGCGGCCTGTCTGCGGCGTCTGCAACGACCGTCCGTCGGGCTGGCTGGTGAGCGACAAGAAAGCAGGCAACCAGGCCAGGCCAGCCACGCCGCCGGACCGCGTGGTGGCTCGAGAGCTGTGGGGCGTCGGTCGTCGAGGCGGTGGGCGCGCACGGTGGTCCGAAGGCCGAAAAGAGGCTCTCGCCTGACCTGACCTGACCTGACCGCTTTTTCGCTCGAAGTCCGTGCCTGGCGGCCCACCTCGAGCCGAGGCTCCGTAGCAGCCGGCAGGCAGGCAGCCCTTTGGCAGCTTTGCCTCGCCCAACCTCCTCTCATCCCCCTCGGCCCGCCCGACGACAACCAAAGACAACGACGACCACTGCTGCCACAAACACAACCACCGACCCTGCCACCACCCTCGCCGCAGTCCTAGTCGAGCGCACCGCACCGCACCGCAGCACAAGACGGTTCATGGCCCTCAGATCCTCTCGTGCCGGCCACCACTTACTCGACCACCTCGCACTCCGACCCGCGACCCTTGGCCTCCTTCGCACGGCCTCGTCCACACGCTACTCGACCTCGATCCCCGCCGGCCCTTTCTCAGGCCGACGTAGCGTATCCAAGCTGGCCTTCCCCCACCTCTCGGGCGCAAGCAGCACCTCCGCCAACAGAACTGGTAGCCTCTTCGCGCTCAGCAAGGGCTTCAACACTTCCTACGGCCTCCAGCACATCGACCGCCGCCGACAGCTCCACAAGCCCACGCATTCCGCCGCAGACGACGCCAAGATGGGTGCCATCGCCACAGGTAGGGTCGACACCGCCCAGCGGGTGGCTGCCCTCCGAAAGCTCATGGAACAGGAAAACGTCCAGGCCTACGTCGTCCCCTCGGAAGACGAGCACGCCTCCGAATACCCCGCCGACTCGGACCTCCGCAGGGGCTACATCACCGGCTTCACCGGCTCTGCGGGCTGCGCCATCGTCACCCTCAAAGAGGCGCTCCTCTTCACCGACGGCCGCTACTTTCTCCAGGCCGGCCAGCAGCTCGAGCCGGGCGTCTGGACCCTCATGAAGCAGGGAGAGCCCAACGTCCCCACCTGGCAGGGTGAGTGAGGCGCGCAGACCTCGATCGCGCTGCTGTCGTCTGGGTGATCTGCGGGCTGTTGGCCGATGATCCTTCGGCCTGCTCACGCCTGGTCGCCCACCTTTGCCTCTCCTTGCCGCTGCCCCGCTCCAGAGTACCTCTCCAAGAACGTGCCCGCCAACTCCCGGATCGGCATGGACCCCTCCCTGATCAGCGCCGACGACGCCAAGGACATCTCTTCCGAGCTGGCCAAGATCGGCTCGAGCCTCGTCGGCATCCGCGACAACCTCGTCGACCAGGTCTGGACCGACCGGCCCTCGCGCCCGCACGAGCCCATCTTTGTCCTCACCGACGAGTACGCCGGCCGCGGGTACGCCGACAAGATCCAGGAGCTGCGCGACGAGATCAGCAAGAAGAACGGCAAGGGCTTTGTCGCCAACATGCTCGACGAGACCGCCTGGCTCTTCAACCTGCGCGGCACCGACGTGCCCTACAACCCCGTCTTCTTCTCCTTTGCCCTCGTCCTGCTTGACCGCACCCTGCTCTACGTCGACGACCGCCAGCTCAGCGACGACGTCAGGTCCCACCTCGGATCGGACGTCACGCTGCGCCCCTACTCGAGCTTCTACGACGACCTCCGCAACGTCGGCGCCGAGCTCAAGGACGGCGAGAAGATCATCATCGGCAAGCGCGCCTCGCTCGCCGTCCAGGAGGCGCTCGGCGGCCCTGGCAAGGTCGAGATCGCGCGCTCGATCGTGGGCGATCAAAAGTCGATCAAGAACGACACGGAGCTCGACGGCTTCCGCGCGTGCCACATCCGCGACGGCGCCGCCCTCTGCCAGTACTTTGCCTGGCTCGAGGAGAAGCTGCAGGCGGGGGAAAAGGTGACCGAGTCCGAGGGCGCCGACGTGCTCAGCCAGTACCGCCAGAAGCTCGACCACTTCCGCGGCGAGAGCTTCACGACGATCTCGTCGACTGGCCCCAACGGCGCCATTATCCACTACAGCCCGGACCCTGCGTCGTGCCCGGCCATTGACGTCGACGAGATCTACCTGTGCGACTCGGGCGCCCAGTTCACCGACGGCACCACCGACGTCACGCGCACCTGGCACTTTGGCAAGCCCACCGACGCCCAGGTGCGTGCCTTTACCCGCGTCCTGCAGGGGCACATTGCCATTGACCGCGCCGTCTTCCCCAAGGGCACGACGGGCTACCTGCTCGACGTGCTGGCAAGGCGTGCGCTGTGGGAGGACGGTCTCGACTACCGCCACGGCACCGGCCACGGCGTGGGCCACTTCCTCAACGTCCACGAGGGCCCGCAGGGCATCGGCACGCGCACCGTCTTCAACGACACCAGCCTCAAGGAAAACATGGTCGTCTCCAACGAGCCGGGCTACTACGAGGACGGCAAGTGGGGCATCCGCATCGAGAACCTCGTCATGTGAGTCGTCGGCGGGCCTCTTCCCAGTCCCCGCTTCGGCTTTGCTGCTCCCTGTTGCTTTGTGCCAGGTCATGCTGACCCGCCCACCTGTCTGGTTCTCTCTCTGCTTGCCCGTGCATGCCCAGCGTGCGCCCCGCCAAGACGCCCAACAACTTTGGCGAAAAGGGCTACCTGACGTTTGAGCACCTGACCATGTGCCCGATCCAGGTCAAGCTGATTGACGCGAGCCTGCTCAACGCCGACGAAAAGAAGTGGATCAACGAGTACCACGCCGAGGTCGAGCAGAAGGTGGCGCCGCTGCTGGCGGGCGACGAGCGGGCGCTCAAGTGGCTCCAGCGCGAGTGCCAGGCGCGGGTCTGATGGCGCCGCAGCCTGCCTGCCTCGCCGATCGCCTGTCCCGGCCTCGCTGCCTTTCGATGCTCCCCTTCGCTCTTTGTTGCTACGTTGTGAACGGATGATGTTGACCTCGCGCCATGTAGATACATTCTCATAGTTTAACAGGCTGGGACCCGTCCGCGGCCACTCTGCAAATGCCACCGTTTCGAGGAGGAGACGATGCGCCGAGGCAGACGGTGCGGATAGCGTGGGTTCGTCGTCGGCGACGTGCCTGGCTCTGGCCCTCCTCGTCAGGCTGGTTGCTGAGCTGGGCCAGCGACAAGGTGGTGCTGGCTGCTCCTGCTGCCGCACGCGGCGAGGACGTGGGCAAGCAGCAAAGTTGACCCCAACTACCTCGGCACCGCTTCTCGGAAGTTGAGACGGCCGCCCGGGAATCGGCGAGGGCCGAGGCAGGC